GATCTCCTTGGAAGAAGGGCAAGAAACAAATTTGATGAATGAATTTATCCTTGAAAAGATCTGAAGGGTAGACTCAAGTTGGAGTGACATTTTTTTTTAAAGAAAAGAGGATTCCACTCTTATTTTATGTCATAAGAATCCTGTGTTTCTTCTGCAGTCGTTAACTCCATAAATGGATTACATAACTGCGGCCGTTCTGCAGTAAATATATTTAAAATTACCCAGAACTGTAAACCAGCATATAACTAGCAGTGCCTTGTTCCACTGTCTAAAGACAACATCTATATGCTTCAATAGCTCCTTCTCTATTCCTTAGCTGGAAGTTGCATGCAGGGGGCAATTCCAGAAGATGACCATTTAGGCATGAATTTTTCTTGCTTCAGACAGATTAGCTCAGGGTCTCTCTGTGTTGGCGAATCATGTGGATCAGGCGGCAATTTATGGCAATCTGCCCTTGAACATTCCAGTCACATAAAAAAAACCCTTGCTACTGGAACTTCTTCCACATCAGCATTCTCTTCTGGATTGTTCAGTCGATATTAGAGGGTCATCTGAGGTTACCCCAGCCCGAAAGAAACTAATATGCTGAACTTTCTAACTTTCTAACTATTCACTTAAATATTATTGTGTTTTTTTCCAAGTTAACTTGCAGATTTATAGAACTTCTATTTACAGCAAAGCAAAGAAACATATTGGGATTTCCTGTTCATTTGTAGTTTGAGATTTTAAGACATTGGGACTGTTTTAGTTAACAGGATTTTTAGATTGTGAGTGTGAACACCAAGAGAACTAGTAAGTTTGTGATATTTGTGGATAGAGTTCATTGAAATACTTGGGTATATAATGTGTGGCAATGCTCCCTCTAAGCGGTGGAGTCTTGTGAACAAAAATTCTACTTTGTGAGCTACTGGCATTAAAGCTGTGAGTGAGCAATTTGGCTACTGCATAAATTAGTTTGCTCTGGAGCCATCCTTCCTGAGTGAAGGCAAAAATGTATGAGCCACAGGCTAAATAACTGTGAGCTTGCTCACAATAACTCAGCTTAGAGGGAACACTGGTGTGTGGGGACTGTACATGTCCAGAATGCAAAAAACCCTACCGTAAGCATAAATCTGATTATAAATATTATATTTATAACAGGGCATCATCTTTAATTTCTTACATAACAGGGCATCATCTTTAATTTCTAACCCTTAACAGGAATAAGTATTTTTTCCTACTCCATGCACCCTGTCATTTTAAACCATGGTCACCAAGTCTTATAAGATTCTCGGGCAAAGCTCTCATCTGAGAGCCAGTTTGGGGTAGTGGTTAGGAGCGTGGACTCTAATCCAGGAGAACCGGGTTGGATTCCTCACTTCTCCACATGCAGCTGTTGGTTTGACCTTGGGTCAGTCATAAGTCCTGTCAGAGCTGTTTTATCCCCTTGACACAGAGTATGTGTCATGTGAACTGGTTTTACTCTGTTGCTTTTTAAAACCTAAATCATAATCACATTAACATGCTGAACAACTAGAGCAAATTGTATTTTCTGGCAAGTTCATTTGCACAAAAACATTTTCTCAGCCACATATAGCCTTGAGTTATGCATGTTTCTTGGGTCCTGAAATTATAGGTACATAATCTTTTCAACAAGTAAGAATTTTTCATAATTTTGGAGTTTGCTTTGCATTATAAAAAACATGGGTTAGAACATAAAAAAATGGGCTAGAAAAGCTTCCTCCATTGAGCCTCCCTTGGTCAAGAAAACGGATTTGTGGAGGTTCCATAAGCATGTATGTCCATTCCAGAACTAGGCAGATCTAAGGAAAGTATGTGTTGAGGGTGTGATTGGGACTGTGCAAGTATGTACTGGATTTATTCCAAGGGTAACAAATTGAAGCATCTGTGAGATGCATTGCATACATGCATACTATTTAGCAATTGTCAGCTTGTTTGCAATTGAAGCACATTGGAAGGATCTTGCATAGAAACATGGTCTCCTGGCTTAGTTTTAAAATTAAAAATTTACGTTGCCATCACCACTTCAGGAGCAGTCCAATGTCCTATTTGGAGAATATTCAGCTTTTCAATTTTTTTAAAAAGTGCTGTCTCCAAATCAATTTCGAACTGTACTTTTTTTCCTTTTTAGGCGCAAAATTCAGGCTTATCAAATGCTGTGAATCAGCACTGTGGACTGTCTGCAGATACATGGTGTAATCACTGTTGCAGTTAAATTCAATTAGACAGGTAAGATTGCTGGAAAATGTGGCCTTATGTCAGCTAGCCTGTTGATTTTTTTTTTTTTGGGACCAGCACTGTCTGTGTGTAAGAGCTTTCACAGAACCACCTGATCTTCTGGGTCCTGTTCTCACCTTGGTCGAGTTTCTTTTTGGTACAGGTATGATGGTTAAGTACCTTAGTGGAATGGTATTTGGACATCTTAGTAATTCTTATTAAATGGCAGCTTCTTTGTCAATAGGAGGAAACCTTACTATGTCTGCTTCAGAGCGCAAGAGGCTATTTATAGGATCAAAACATTCTCTGGTCTTTGCAAAAGAGGTGAAAGTAGTAGTTTCCAGCAGTGTGCACACAATCAGGGGAAATTATTAATTACCAAGGGAATTTGATTGTGGATCTGTGGTTTTGATTAGATTGAGGGGGGCGGCTTTCCATGCTAATGCTATGTTGGCCTCTGTTTAACTTATTGTTTCAGCTGCTGAGGATGATTGCCTTCTTGATGGAAGTGGCATTACACAGTAATAAGTGTCTTAACGTTTTACGATTGCTGATTTGATCGCTGACCCCAGGCATGTATATCTCTCGTAAAAGGAGGAGATAATGTTTTGGGGGGGCTTGCGTGGCATTGAAAATATTTCTCTTTTCTAAATGTCAGTACTTGAAAAGTAATCTGAATTGTAATGGTTTGGGATTAATTTTAATTAATCATAGTTTTAAAATTAATCATGATGTGGAGATGTTGAATGTCAGACATCTGAAACTTAGAACGGCATCTCTCCGGGGACATATTCTCTGCTGTAACTAAAACAAAGCAAATCCCTGATGTAGGTGCAATGAAATAAACCTCAACAACGTGTACGGTGGTCGGATGGACTCATAGCAAGTTCCTTTGAGGTAGGGACATCATAAAGACGCAGTCATGTTCGATTGTCCAGAAATTAATGTGGGAGGGGTGTATTTTCATTGTGTCTGGCTGTCTTAGAAGGTGTCGAATTTGCCAGCAATTTTTTTTTTACTTTCCAGAGCAAAGGGGGAACTTCTATGATCTTTTCTTCACGGTCAGAACTATGCAGTGTCATGCCATTTAGACAACTGGGCTGGCCAGACTAATTTAAATGATCAATTACCTAGTAAATAACTTAGTTGTGTTTTGTAATGTGAGAG